AAATGTCAAACATCCACAAAAGTGTAAAGATTATTATAACCAGCCCTGGAGAAGAGTATAATGGGCCCATTCTCCAGCTTCAAACTTTTCCACTTGAGGCAAAGCCTGTTTCCATCCCCTTCATGCCCCCACCTCCTCCAAATGATCCTGAAACCAGGCTGGCCCTGTTCCTTGCTCTGACCAAACCCAGCCCCACATCCCATGCTCCCCCAGCCCCGTGGGAGCTCAGGCAGTCCCCACCCTCCTGCAGACACCCGGCACGTCTCCTGGTGGAAAGGCCTGGCACGTGGCTTACTGGAGGCCCGCTGCCTCCCCGGCCCCTTGATGGACTTCTGCAGAGCCCGCTGCGCCACGGGCCTGGGGCCCCTGGGAGTAAACTGAAGAGTTTTGGCTCCGAGGCCGCAGCCTTTCCTTCCTGGTTCACGCCCCGTTTGCATTTCCCTCGAGAGACACGATCACTTAGAAACCTATAAATCCCTGGCAGGGCTGACGGCCCAGGCGAGTATATAAATCAGGACTTAGAAAAGCCGAACGGTTCCCGCGGGCTGGCAGAGAAGGGAGTGTGCCAAATCTCCACGGGCCGCTCCCCACGACCCAAGTCGGTAGGGCCCTGGGGCCCAGTGCTGGGGCCACAGACCAGCTCTGGAATGCCAGCTCTGCCCTCACTCTCTGGGACTCAGTTCTTAACTCTGCAAAATGGGCTAATGACCCTCACCTTGCGGAGACAACGTCGGTTCTGGCTGAGCAGGAAGGCATAGGGATGTGGTGGGCATCCACGTGGGTTGGCAGGATGGGCTGGGCAGAGGCCGTCTGGGGACCCGGAGGCCTGGGTTCTCCACTGCTGGCCACTGTCCTGCTCTGTAAACTGTGGACACATTGTACTCTTGGGACCAGTCTTTTCATTCGGAAATTGAGGGGCTGGACGGGGCGGTGAGCTCACAAATACGTATTATGGCCCTGATCTGCATGAGGTTCTGCACAGACGGGGCCCAGGTCCCTCGCTCCTGGCTCTCACGCCCCACGGATGTATTCGACAAACAAGTACTGAGTGCCTGCTGTGTGCTGCAGGGGCCGAGCAGCCTACCATGAGGAGGGCAGAGCAGGACCCACCGCCTGAGCTTCCAGGGGGGCTTCACCCACTCCCTTCACAGCAGCGGGCAGAGGCACGTCCCAATGGCACACCCCACTCCTCCCCTTGCCCCGTGCCCTGTTGTCCATGTGCCCTGGGTTTCTCCATCTGTGTGGAAGGGGCGGAGCCGGTGGCCTCAGGGGACCTCTTAGTTCTAACGGTCTGGATCATGGGGACCCCAAGGGCCAGCAGCAACAGAGACTCTGGAGTCAGAGGGAGTCCAGGCAGATCCTGGGATGGGGAATCCCTGTACCCACCATCAAGGGACCCTGGGCCTGACCATGAAGGGCAGAAGGGCAGTTCCTGATACTCGCTGTCCCCAGAAACCTCTGGCAGGTGGTTGAGGAAGGGGTCGAGTGACCTGAGGCCCTTGCACCAAGGGCCTTTCCCACCAGCACTCTCCTGGGACGCCCTTTTTGGGTCCTCTCCCCCAGGCACTAGGGCTCTATGTTGCCTTAGGCCACGGACAGAGAGGCAAGAGTCAATCGAGGAGGGGGCAAGGCAGGGAGAATGGGGCACAGAAGAAAGACTTGCAGTTAAAGAAGGCAGGAGAAAGACAGAAGAAAAAGAGACACGGGGGTGAACTGGGAGGGGCAGAGGAAGCGGAAAGGAGAGAAATGGGGGGACAAAAGGGCTCAGCAGAGACGGGGAGATGGAGGGTACAGGGGCAAAGAGCTGCTGGGGGACTAGGGGGAGAAGTGAGGGAAAGCAGAGAGGGACAGGGAACAATGGAAGATGTAGGGACGGGGGAAGGAAGACAGAGGGACAGGAAGAGACAGAAGACAGGGACATGGGGACAGAGAACAGGGAGAGGGGGACAGAAAACAGAGGGACAGGAAGAGATGGAAGACAGAGGGCCCCTGATGGAGACAGTAATGAGGCAGAGTAGGGGACAGATCAGTCTCAGCCTGGACTGGACAAAGGGCAGGGCAGCAGGGGCTGCCCCGAGTGGCTGGGCTGGAAGAGCAGTGCGGTCACCTGGCTGACTAGGGCAGCTTGTACCCTGGGTCCCGCTTTGGGGGCTCTTGGGCAGACTCAGCTCCATTGCCCTACAGACCCCATAGGGCCCCAGGTGGTGGTCCATCCCCCAGGGCCGCTCCAGGTACGAGATACTAACCACTTCCACCTGACCCAAAACCCCTGTGTGTTGGGGGGGGGTGGGCAGTAAGCACCCTGCCCTGTGATGGCAGCACAGTCCCGGCCGCAGGCCCTGGCACTTGGTCAGAGCTCAGGAGGGGCCGTGGTTCTCAGCGTTTCCTAAATAAGGGATGAAGAAAGCGTGGCCGGGAAGGGAGATCGGGTCCAGTCTCTTGGCGGATCCTGCCCCAGGGGCCCAGCCGCTGCTGTGCTCCCTAGACTAGGATGGAGACCTGCCGGCGTCTGGGAGGCGGGAGGCCTCCGAGTGCCAAGAGGAGGAGCGGAGGCTCAGCGGAGACCCCAGCAGGGGAAGGGGACAGTCACATCTACAATTCAGGGTCAGGATGAAAGCTGCTATGACTGAGTCCCTACTGTGTGCCAGGCCTTTGTCTCCAGCTCGCTCATCTGTCTTTCCTCTTTCTCTTTTGTTTCTTTTTGGCTTTGTCCCCTCTCTCCCTCTCTCTCTCAGAAACTAAATGGGATCCAACTGCCAGCTCCTTGTGTGTTCTCCTGCTCACAGCGCAGCCCTTTCATTATTAATAGAAATATGTCCTCATTGTACAGCTTAATTCTGCTTATCTGGAGTGGATTAAGTGCTTACAATAACGTGTAGTATTGATTCTGGGGCATCTCTGTTAAAGGAATTTTGCCACTACCTAATTAGTTCCATAAAACCAGCGGAGGCTGGGACTACGGGACCAGGGGCGCCTGGGAGTCAGGAGCCCTGGGTCCTCATCCCAGATGCCCACGTGCTGTGTGGCATTAGGTCAGAATCTCCCCACTGGAGGCCAGGACTGCCTGTTCTGGGAGCAGGAGGTGGGAGCCAGGTTGCCCGGAGTCCTTAGGGCTGGAAGTGCCGTGGGTGAGAGTGTGTGTTCTGGAGCCCCATCCCTGGGTTTGAATCCCTGCTCTACCACCCTCTGGCTGTTTCAGGTCCCTCAGTGTCTGCATCTTTAAAATGGGGTCACTGTCAGGCTCTGGAAGGAAACAGATGGGCCTCTGACTGGGGCAGGCGACGAGGGTTTAAGGAAAGGGCCACGTACAACAGTGTGGATGGCTGGCAGACTGACAAGGGACAGTGCGGTGCCCTGACTTTCCTAAGAGTGGGAGCGGTTTCAGCCTCCAGCCCAGGCCTGAAGAGGGAGGACAGGGGGTCACTGCTGTGACCGGCACGTTGTGGGGGGGTCACTTGGTTGGAGCTGGGGTCTTGAATGAGGACAGAGCCTGTCCAGGGACCCTTGCTCTCCCTCGTCCTTCCCAAGCTGGGCTCCTCACTTGCTAGAAACAGCTGGGAGGCAGAGGGATGGGAGCCCCAGACACGGTCCCCATGGGTTGGCCTGGACACAGAGCAGGACGCATGGCCTCCCTAGGTTGCAGGGGGAGACCGGGCACGTATACAGGTGGCAGCCTTAATCCTGTCACCTCCTGGCTGGGTGGCTTCTCTGAACCTCAGCTTCCTTCTCTATAAAGAAGGGATTGGGGGTGCTTGGGTGGTGTCGTTCGTTAAGCATCCGACTATTGGTTTCAGCTCAGGTCGTGATCTTGGGGTTGTGGAATCGAGTCCCGCGTCGGGCTCTGCCCTCTCTGTGGAGTCTGCTTAAGACGCTCTTTGCCCCTCCCCTACCCAGCACTCTATAAAATACATAAACCATTAAAAAAAAAAACCAGAAAGGATTGACTAGATCTTTCCACCTTGCTTTGCCTCCCTACCTCAGTCTTTGAACTGGGTTTGACTCCTGACTGCCCTGCCTCAGGACAGGACGCTCCTCCACAGAGCTGTCAGAGGAGAGTCTGGCACACAGTGGGTCTGCAACACCCACGCCTCCCCTTATCTCATTTCACTTCGGCAATGCCGAGATAGGAATTTTCCTGGAGGACTTCTTCTTCTCTTTTTTTTTTTTTTTTTTTTTTTTTAAACCAGGTGACCTTCAGGGTGATGTGGTGAGATGCAGGACGCTGTCCAGGCCATCTGTCCAGGCCTAGATGAAGGGGAGGGAGCCAGGCAGGGGAGGACAGCAACCCCGAGTGAGCCTCAGTGCCCTCAGAACTGGTTTCCTTCCCCCCTCCCAGATGACGTGGAGTAGGGCGGGGATCTGCGTCCGGGCGGGGAGGCTATGTGTAGCCTGACCCCCATCTTCGGAAGGCTGTGTGGACTCTGTCCTGCCGTCCCAGGCCTTCCCTGCTGACCCGAAGCCAGAGCCAGCATGAAAGCGCGTTCCAGTGGCTGAGAAGTCAGCTCAGAGAGCAAAGGTCTAGGCCAGCTGATCTGGGACCCAGTTTGAGCCTTAGCCTTGGTCTGCTCACCTGCCTTGCGGCATGGTCCTGGGACCAGCAGGCCGTGCGGCTGTGTGAGGCGGCCCCCCTCCCCCGGGCTTCCGAGCCCCTCGCCCTGGCTCCCTTACACACCCCTCCATCCTGCTGCCCGCCTCAGCCTCGACGCCCCCTTGCGGGCACAACCAGGCCCCCACGTCTTGTTTCCAGTTTTTAATGTTTTTCTTGTAAAAACCCAAAATATAAAACCAGAAGGGGAATGGAAAACAAGTTCTGTACATTTTATATACACGAGGTCTGTGATTTCAAAACCGTTGGGGAAAGAAAAGGAAAACACAGGCGAGGGAAAGTTGCAGCTCACGGATCCTGATGGGCACCCCCGCGCCGCCAGCTCGGGCTCAGGCCGGCGCTCCTGGCCAGTGCTGGCAGCCGCCACAGCCTGGCACCCTGAGTCTGTGGGGAGCTGCGGCCTGCTGGCTCAGGCTGGGTGCCCAGAGGGTGGGGACAGACGGCCAGTGGGCAAAGCAGTGTCTGCCATAGAGGGGGGCAAGGGCAGGCAGGGCCTTCCTTCAGGTGTCCGTGTAGATGGACGGGATGTGACTCAGGCAGTGGTCAAAGGCCCCGTTGGGGAAGAAGCTGCAGTCCTCGGGGCCGCTGGATGCCATGTCTTCGGATGACTGTGGTGGCAGGGCCTCGTAGCCTGTGGGTGCAGTGGGGAACAGGGTCCGGACTGGAGAATGCAGGGGCTCTGCCTCATCGTCTTTTCCCAGCCCCCTCACCCCATCCTACTGCCCAGGGTCCCTTTCATAGTGTCTTCCGCAGGGCCTGCTCTGAGGCTTTACTCTTCCAGAGAAGGGAGCCAGTGGGTGGGAGGAGATGCTCTAGGCCTAGCACTCCCCCAAGGGGCCGGGGCAGCTGGACAGACAGATGGCTGGCTTGGGGCAGTCTGTCACCCAGTTCTGGACTATAGGGCAGAATGCAGGGAAGAGAGGGAGGGCTATCACAGTTCTTGCCCTTGGGGGCTTGTCCCCTCCTGGCAGAGGGAACCCAGCCCATCCCCACTCTTCCAGGTTCCTTCACCTAACCAGACACAAGAAACCCAAAGAAGGAGATGAGCACTTACTGGGTTCTTACTGAGGGCTCTTGAATTCTTAACTCACTTAAGTCTCTCAACAATCCTATGAGGTAGGAGTCACTATCCCTTTTTACAGCTGAGAAGACAGGCTCAGAGAGGCCACGACACTTGCCTAAGGCCAACTGCTTGTCAGTCGGGGAACTGGGATTTGAACCCAGATCCATCTGGCCCCAAGACACCTGGTTCTTCTATTGGACATGCTGTCTGAGTGGGGTCACTGCTCAAAGGCCCTCAACCTGGAGGGTCTTATCCAGTCCCTGCCCAAAGAGCCAGGTCCCTGAGCTGCTGTCACAGATTTCTATAGCCTAACATAGGCAGGCCTCAGTCTTTCCATCTGTGCAGCGGGATTAATCTGAACTACTCCTGGGGCCCCATAGTGCCACTCTGTGAGTCTGGATCAATCCATGTCTATTCTCAGCTTGGTGGGAGGTGTAGGCAGCTTTGTGGGTCCTGGGATGGGCCCCGAATGCTGGGCTGCCACCCAGATAGCAGGGGAGAAAGGAGGCCACAAGAATCCACTACGTTGGTGTGGGGCATGGAAGCTGCCTCTTGCCTGTGCTCGTTCTTCGTTCCTGCTGCTAAGCCTAGAAACCCCGCTGCGGGCTGCATGGAGCAGGGGAAAGATGAAGGGTGAGAGCCTGCAGTGCTGGGATTGGGGCCAGTGCCTCATCACACACCAACCCACACGTGTGCAAAGAGGAGACATACACCCCCACCCCCCGTGCGCACCCTGGGAGAGGGTACACATCTGCCTATGATGCACAGAGGTGACACACCCCCATTCCCAGACACGCTTACAGCATGCTTGAACGCAGTCTGTGTGCACAGACTGGAGTCCTGGAATGGGAACAGTGTGTGTACAGTGTGTGTACAGATGGGAATAAAGGGTAGGGAGAGCGCGTGTACACAGTGCACGAACATCAGCATGAGTGTGACATCTGCACATGCGTGTAGACATGAGCACCTGTGCCCTGTGAGCTCCTTAAACACGCAGGGGGGCTTGTAATGCTTGGAATCTGCTTGTATGGGCCCTACGATATGCACAGGCACCACGGGCACTCACCACAAATGTGCAAAGAAAGAAGACACACACAGACGGGAGAGCACGTGTGTGAACGGGAACATAGGACCCACGTGCAGATGGACCCACAGGCTTCTGGGCACTCGTCTATGGCCTTCTTGTTGTCCCTATGTCCTTAATCCTCTACCCCCAGCTGCACACACCCAGAGCTGTCCAAGGGGTCTCTGGCATGGGGCCTCAGGCTCCCCTCTGTCTGAGACCCCCATCCTGCCCACACCTTGTAGCTTCCAGCTGGCTGCGGGCCTGGAGGCTGACTTGGGGTGGGGCTTGAGGAACTCCGGGAGGGTTGGCCCCAGCCCTCAGATGCCCCTGCTCTGATCGGCTCGGCCCTGCTGGTCTGAGCCCGTCCACCCTGGCCTGTCACCGGCTTTCTCCACTGCAGCAGGACCCTTCCTTGCAGAAGGCCCAGGGCTCCATAGGGGGGACACAGATGCCACACAAGGTACAAGCACAACCTCTAGGCTCCGTACTTTCCTAGTGTTCCTCTGTACTTTCCTGGAGTGTGGCCACTCCAGCCTCGTTTCATCTGTTCGACAGAGATCCGTCTTTGTCTCTTTCCCTGTTGTACCCCCAGGGTCTACAACTGTGCCTGGCATGCAGTAGGTGCTCAGTAAATAGTTAAAGGGCAACATCAGCTGGACTATAAGCTCCCTGATTCTTCTCTGTCTTCAGAAACCTGCCAGTGCGCAGACACGTAGCAGCTGTGACAACGTGGGAGGAACACTGATCTGGAGACAGGCAGGATGCCAATCCCAATTCTGTGGGGTTTTGGGACCTCTGGGAGCCTCGATGTCTCCTTCCACCAAGTGGGGATGACTCTGCCTCTTCGGGCCATCCCAGGGCTTCAGGACAACGTACATAAGCACCCAGCCCGGGGTTGGGCCATGGTAGGCAGTCAGGGAAGGGAGGCAGGCAGGTGGGGCTTACCGGTGGCAGATAAAGGTGCGTTGAGGCCGTGGTAGCTATTGGGCCGCAGGGGGTTGAAACCGTGGGCTTCCCCGGCCAGACCGTCCCCGCTGGCTGCTAGCTCAGCTGTCCGGTAGCAGTCGCCGTAGGGGAAGCAATTCTGGATGGAGTGGAAGGTGCCCTGGTACCCTGCAAAGGGAGGCAGCAGGGGCTGTGTCAGCGAAAGATGAGTGCCCGGGGACAAGAGGGACCGTCCCTGCTGCTCTGTGCCGTCTCCCATATCGTCCTGTCCCTCCACACTGGGTGTGAAGGAGAGAACAGAGCTCCAGGGGGAGAAGGTGCCAGCGGTCCTGGGCCCCTTTCCCAGCTCTGCTGGCCGCTGGAAGGGGAGGGTAAGGTGGCCTCATGTGGCGACCACTGACTGGAGTCATTTGTGGCTGACGCAGCGCTCTGAGGGAAGGGACTATCGGCCCCCTACCCCCACCTCCTGAGATGCCTGCTCCCTGTCCTTCCTCCAAGCTGCAGGCTGTTCCCACCTGGTCAGTGCCAATGCTGTTCCCTTCAATGCCTTGTCAATGGAACAAACTGTACCCCACCCCTCCAATGGAATTTCCTCAAGGAAGTGCCCCCAACTAGGTGTGTTAAGTCACTTGACTCCTGGCTTCTCCCACAGTGACCCTCAGCGCCCTCCCTCATTCTGATGCCCCACTGTCTCCCCCATCAGTGCCCCATACCCCTCAGGCACCCTGAGCAGAAGTCAGTGGGTATCTATGGAGAGAGGCCCCCAGCCAGGGCTTACCTTGTGGACTGGGCAGAGGTGGGGGTGGAGGGCTCTGGAAAGGTGGGTAGGGTGGCTTGCTGGAGAGTGTGGGGAAGGGCTGGACCCCTGGAGAATGGCTCTGAGAGGATGGTGGCAGCGGTGGTGGCCCAAGTCCCTTCAGTGGGCTGACCATAGGGGAGAGGAGGCCGGGTCCCAACCTGAAGAGAACAGAGGCAGTCATCAGCAGGATAGGCTTTGGGGGCCAGGGGGCCAAAGACATGGCTGCTGCTGCTTGCTTCCCTCCAGCCGTGAGGAGCTTGCTACCTGATCTGCTCTTACTTAAGACACTGCAGTTAGAAGAGGAAGCTTTTACTCTGGATTATGTTCAAACTGGAATTAAATTTGAAAGTCATCTAAGCTTGAAAGTCCAAAGGGATCAGTAAAGAAGAACTTCTATCTGGTATTCAGGACTGGCAATCAGCAAGAACACTGGTTATCAGAACGACCTTTGGAGTTGACAGAACTGTTTTAAAACCCATCTGCTCAAACTGGCTGGGACTTCAGCAAGATGCTTAATGTCTCTGAGCCGTGTGCTGCTCCCAGGGTTGCTGTGTCTCCAGCTGGGACATTGGGATTCTCATGACCTGCGTGAAGTACCAGCCACCCCTGCAGGACCACGCTGCTCTCACTCTGCACTTGAGCTCTGGCCACCGGGAGGACAAGCCCCAGAAGAGCTGCCCTGGACAGCCCCACGGCACTAAGAGTCACCACCCACTGAGTCCCCGCCTCACCTCAGGCCCTGGGAGAGAATTTCTTGTGTCCACCTCACACATCAAAACAGCAAGGTTCAGAGACGTGGCTCACCAGGCTAGTCCTGGCCACACTGACCTCACGGGTTAGGATGAGGGTAAAATTAAGTAAGTCCAAGTGGACATAGCACCCAACATGATGTCACATGTATTCTTAGCCTCCATGAGCCAGCATCATTATTATAAAGATGTAGGGAAAGACAACAAGCAGATAGTTCTTATGTCAAAGCTGGGCTTTCTTCCCCCACACAGTGTGCTTTCAGGGACCTTCTGTCTCCATCCTTGCACTTGCATACCTCCTGTGATGGGGGGCTCCCCACCTCTATTCATATAGAGCCTGAGGTAAGGCAGGCCTGAGCCTGTGCTCTCTGGAAGCTCACTGTCTGGAATAAGGTCATGGTAGCTGAGAGCTGTTCTGTCACCCTGACCGCAGCAGAGCTGAGGCAGGTTATCTAACTGGATGGCATGTCCATACAGCGTGGGGTCTTTCCTCATGCTGCTCCCTATGTCTCTAGGGTCTGCTCACAGGAACCAGCCTGGCCCTGGGGCCAGATGGACTTGGGGGCTCTGGGGACCAGCCTGTAAAGCCCTTACAGGCATTGCGGGAAGAGGCAGGGGGAGCTCAGAGTGTCTGCTCTCTGATTTGCCTTGTGGATCTGTTGGACCATCCACCTTAAAATATACTACAAATCCAGTGTCTCAGCTAAGATGACCGTTATAGGCCAGAAACACTACCCCTGCCTACCCTCTAAGCATGATGCATTAGGGGAACAGATCAGCCCCTTTTTCTGAGGGAAGCAAGGCTATCCTGAAATGGAGAAAGGTTTAGGGAGAGGCCAGTGGGCCCCAGGTCTGTAGCCCTGCTGGGTCCCCCTACCTGCTCCCTCCAGCCTGGGCACCCTCTGCTCACTGCCATTCGATGTCTGGAACCCCACCGCTGTGAGTGTGCTGAAGGTGACACGGGGGCCTCTGTGCTGGCCCCTGGTTCCCAGCCCCCCATCTCACACACTGCAGGTAACTCCTCAGCATCAAGTTGACGAACTGAATCCTCATCAAGGCCCCATGACCTTCTTATCATCCTCATGACTATTTTTAGGCTCCTCTCACAGAGCCGTCAAGTGGGAGAGGGTCTACCGCTGTGGTCTATATGCCGTGGCAGGCTGTGCGTAAGCCGTGTGTCCTCACAGCAGGTTCTCTGGCTGAGGCTGGGCTGAGGTGTGGCCCTCGGGGAGGCTGCAGGGTGGCCCATAGGGGACCTACGCCCCTTCAGGCCCGCTGTGTGGTGCCCACCTGCCTCACGTCTGGCCCAAGCTTGCACCCACACCAGCCCTTCCCTGACTTCCTGCCGGTGCCCTGCCCTGGGAGCTCCTGCGGGAGGGCTGGGCCTTGCCTCTCAGGGGCACCGTGCTCAGCCCTGGGCTGGGGACACCGCAAACAGCTGATAAACACTAACCAACGGGTTTTTTAATCACTCAGCTACAAAACCCAGAGATTAACAGCTCTGCAGAATTAAGGAGAACCAGATCTGAAGGAGGAAAAAAAAAAAAACATGCATTCTCAAAGTTTGTTTTTCCTGTCTCAAACCTGCCATAAATTCACATTTGCCACCTTCACAGCCAGTGAAATTAAACAGAACACGACTCTCTCCACAGCCGACATGAAGGCTGAGGTTACGCTGTTCTACCTGAACTCTTTAAAAGGAAAAAAGATCATCTGGAGCTCCTCTTCTGAGTCATGCAAATGATTCCTAAATCAAATATTTTTGCTTCAATTGGAACCTATAAAAATTAATATAAAACCTCACTGGCTTGGCAGACTGAGGGCTTCATACCTCGTATAGGGCTGGGGGGGAAAACCGCCCTTTCGGCGTCTTCTCTGAGCCAGGGTAAATAAATTTGGTCATGAAGTCAGGCCCTCTTAGCATATTTTTGAGTGAATCAGATAATTCTGTCAAACTCTTTAAACGTCCCAGCAAACCACCAGGGAGCCGCGAGTGGCCTTCCCTATTGACTTTGGCAGGAAGGGGAGGCTGAAGGCCTTTTCCCTCCGCCTTGCCACTCTTCTCAGGGGCTGAACAAAGAAACCCATTCAAGCTGGGCCTGGGCCTGCTGTCAGGCTTGAGGGCCCTCCTCTCCCACAGCCCAGCGAGGGAGCCTGGGTGCCTGGTCCATTGGGACGACTCGAGCAGGCACGGGCGCTTGGATGGTAGGCTGGGCTGTCCTGGTCTTGTCATCACTCTGCCACTCGCCGCAGGAATCCCTGACGGACACTTACACGCAGGCGGCAGGCAGGTGATGAATGAGGCAGAGCAGAGGGCCTGGGCCTGAGCGGGGAGAGGCCTCTGTGGTTTATTTTAGTTTGGTTGGAGACATTTTTGGGGCTGGCGTGTGGGTGAGCAGGTGGCCTGAGTTGGTGGGTGGGTGGGTGGGGTAAAGTGGCCCAGTGTCTGTGGAACTGGCACCAGATGCCACATACAAAACCAGCAGGTGTTGTGTCTGCTGTGGCTGCTCCTCACCATCTTCCTAAAGGAGAAGATTTTAATACCCATTTTATAGAGGAGGAAACTGAGGCTCAGGGAGGCCTGGTTCTCTGGGTCCCCTTCTGCTCCCCCTCAGGCTGCCTCTTTGTGGCTCTCCACGCACGCACCCCCCCAAGTCTTCCCTAGTCCATGAATGGCACTTCTGCCTCCCCAGGGGCCCATCCCGGGTGCCTCCTCCCTCCCCGCCCAGCTGCGTTTCCTTGCTGATTCTCTGATGCCTCCTGGTGTTCCTCCTCTCCACCCAGCAGCCCTGGCTCAGGCCGCCACCCTCCCACATTCGATGCTGCCTCTGGAAACCAGCCCTACACTGCGGGCCACGCCGTCCTCCCCAAACTGACCACATCACTGCCTGGCTCCCTTTGGATATAGCTCCGCCACAGGCCGTGTGATCTGGCCCTGGCGACCTCCCTCCTGAGCTTGTCATCCTACAAAAAGGTGCATGTTTCCCAGAACACGACAAGGCTTCAAGGCTTCACCGTGTCTGCACTCCCACTGCTCCTTCCTCCCAATCTCTCCACTCGGTCAACTGCTACTTAACTGTGGAGGCCCTGTCTAGCACCACCTTCAGGAAGCCTTCCCTGCATTGCCCTCCAACGCACTGCGCTCTCCTCCGGGCTTCCACAGCCCCTTCTGCTTCTTCCCTCAGAGCCCTTGTCCTGCGTGGTCAGTCCCTGCGGGTCTACGTCCCTCCCTCATGGTGAGCTTCTCCAGGGCTGGGGTCATTGGTCACTCGAGCATGGGGTCCAGGGCCAGCCCCCTTCAGGGGCTCAGTAACTGGACGCTGACTGACTGGATGAGTAAGTAGCAAAAGGAGCTAAGTTCAGAGTCTGGACAGCAAATTTGGTGATGAAGCCAGGCTGGCCCCAGGCACGGGCAGGCCAATGCCAAGGCCAAGGCTGTGGCCTTGGGGAGGAAGGGCAGAGAAGGAAGGTACTGAGGCCAGGCCTTGGGGGTCAAGTTTGATCAAGTCCTGCTAGTGTAAGTGAAAGTGGCGGGGAGGGCAGGCTGTAGGGCTATGTGAACTCCCTCCGCACATTTGCAAGGAAAACAGATTTTGGCAGCACCAGGGGCCAGCAATTAGCACATTTACCATTTCCAGCCAATTAAGTGGCCACAATGGGAACCACATTGAATACAGAAAGAGGCCGCTCCTCCTTGCAGTGATCCTGCATGACGGGCCCCTGGACAAACCCTGCGGGCGGGGCAGTGACCACAGCTGCTAGAAGTGGCAGTGAGAGCCAGACGAGCACCTCCGGAGTGAGCAGCAGGCAGCCTGCTCGCCAAACGTGTGGCGTGAGCCGAAGAGAAGCCGGAGTGAGGCTCCCGAGGAGGCCCGGTCAGGCAGTCCAGGGTGCAGGGCAGGGCACAGTGTCTTCAGCAGTCGCCCTTACGGGGGTTGGGGGAGAGGAGGAGCGCACACAGCGAGGCGTCAGGAAGTCCATGTGCCAACACCCTCTGCCTGGTGCGTGGCCTTGAGGCGCCAATGAGACTGTGCACAGGTGTCAGTCCAGGATACGGTACACAGTAAGCGCCGCATAAATGCTGACAGTTTGCATTATCAGTGATAACCACGGAGTGTGGAGAACACCTCCCCTCACCTGCCCCTGTGCAGGTAGGTGTCTGCTTGTGGTCCCGGAGGACCGGCTTGCTGTACGTACCCGTCCCTGGTGCTCTCAGCCGTGGGGAGAGGGGACAGATGGTGGTGGGAACTGGTGCTGGCATCCAGTGGGTGGTGCCTGGAAGGGACCTCGTGCATGGGGGGCAGGATGCCCGATGCGAGCCCGTTATGGGGGGTGACAGAGCCAGGATACATGCCTGCAGGGAAGCAAACAATTACCACTGGGCTTCGGCCGCTCCCTAGAGATGGTTGTGAACCACCCAGGAGCTGTGTGTCTGCTGTCAGAAAGAGACAGACACGAAGTGAAACCAGCACTGTTGTATTAACAGGAGGTCGGGGGCCCAAACAAACAGGGGATGGCCCTGCTCCGCTGTTTGTGCCCCGGCTACAGGGCTGTATATGGGGCTGAGGCTGTCCTGAAAGCAGCGGAGGACTGAGAAGGGGCTGTCAGAGACATCAGCAGGCCAGGCTGTGTGTGTGTGTGTGTGTGTGTGCACACGCTTGCATTTTTTTAGGGTGGTAGGTTGTATGGAGCATGCTGCCTCAAGTCTCCAGAGCTGTTCTGTGTAGCCCTAGAAGCAGACAGGGATCCTGGAATGGAGAGAAGCCTGAGAGAGACTCAGAGCTTGGCCATACTTCTCACAGGCAGACCTGGTGTAGAGTAAGGGGCTGCCTTTGGAGGAAATGAATTCCCTGTCTCCAGAGACATGCAAGCACAGCCTGGATGTCCACCATGAGGGGTCCTAAAGACAGGGTAAGATTGTGCTCGCTGGATGTCAGGCTGGCCTAGGAGACCTATGAGAAGGGACGCCACAGACGGTTGTACAGGCTGTACACAACACAAGGGTCCCGACAGAGGAGAGGCGGCAGCCATGCTCTCATCTATGATTCTAAACCTCTAGAAGATGCCCGCAAGGTGGTACCACCTTCTACCACCTGTTACTCCCAAGGGTCTCACTCTTGTTAAGAAGACAGGTAGGGAATGAATCAATGGAGGACATTAGGTCATAGTTGTTGCTACAAGGATCTAATGGAGGATCTGGGAGTAGTTACTGAGGCTAGTGCTTCCCAAATGCCTTCACCAAGGAACCCCAATTAGAAGGGAGAATGGACCCCAACTCTGGGACTAGAGCCTGAGAGGGACCCAGCAGAGGTGGCAAATTTTTCCTCTATTTTATCTGAAGAAAATGGGACCAATTTTGTTCCCCTTTTAAAATATGGCCACATTTATTTCACTTTTATGACACTGACATCATTTTCCTAGAAATTAAGTCATTATATTGATGGCCCGGGACAACTCTGCAGGCTCGGGGCCACACCCAGAGCTCTGATGCGGGTTCACACTGATTAGTCCGAGCTCGCCTGGGTCAGCTGCTGCAGTTTGAACAGCATCGTGGGTCCAGACCCAACGCTCTTTACCACGAAGACCACCCGAGCACACAGCACACTCTTTTCGTGGATGGAGTCAAGAAGGAACTTTTACATTCTCCAGTGGCTGGGGGCTTCCAAGGCTAGCCCATCCCAGGTCGGTCCCTTTCGCCCAGGCCTGCAGCTCAGGAAGCTACCACCAGGAACTGAACAGGCCAGGGGAGGCTCCCTCCCTGAACTGCAGCGAATCAGGCTTCCAAGTGATACCAAAGAAAGCCTACTTAAAGCCAGGCCAAGGAACTGGCCTGGGGTTCCAGCTCAGGCTATGTCCGAGATGTCCACGTAGGGGCCTGTGGGCCACGCTTCACTGTGGGCTGGCTGTGAGACGCCAGGGCTCTGAATGGGCTCTTGGGGGGCCCTCTGCCTCTCAGCTCCAGGCTTTATCCCTTCCCATTGTGGGGACCTCTGGTCCCAAGGGCAGCCCCACCATCCATCCACCACACGTCCCTCCCCAGCTCTGTCAGGAAGGCAATGGAGGGGGTTTCTGGGGATAGAGCCTGGCTCAGCACTGCTTCTGGCTTGCTCCGCTCACCACTCTCCTGAGCGTCTCACCTGCCATCTTGAACCAATCTGGAAGCCTGACAGTTAGGAAGGTCTAGAATCCCGATAAATCCTGCTCTCTCTCCCTCAGCCGTGCTGACCTCGTGCTTTTCATATCCTCGCTGCCCATCACATTACGCTGGGTCTGCTAAAGGAGCCTGCCAGATAAGCTCCTGAGGGTTTCCTGTGAAGAGAGCTGGGCCTTCCAGTTCAGAGACAAGTTCTTGGGAGTTTACTATCATTAGACAATGAACATTTAATGTCACCCTTGCAAGCTCCTCCCCTTCCCTCCCCACTCTGTTCTGGACTCCTCTCTGTCCTAACACTCCTTGAATCTGCCCCATTTCCCCCTGCCTTTGCCCACCTTCCCCTGTCCAGCCCTGTGCAGACAGTGGGCTAGGCATGCTGAGCATGTAGGCAGACGGCAATGGCGATGATGGTGGCACAGCATCACGAGGGCTGGCGGAAAGGAGATGCCATGGAGCCTGCTGGCCTCTCCCCAAAATGCACCATTTGAGGCTATAAATCACCATCTTCCATCATCAGCCTTGAGTGCTTGACCTCTGGCCCTACCATCTTCCCAACTGCACCCCAAGCCTTTGCTGTGTGGCCTGCAGAAGCTAGTGGCTGACGTGCAGAGGGATCCAGAAGTTCTGCACCTGCCTGGCTGTTCCTCGTCTCCCCATGGGGCTGGAAGCAGCCTGCAGACAGGGACCAGCTCGGGGCCTGGTACCCAGCAGGTGCCAGTACGGTGAGGGGAGCATTGGCGGCCAGGAGGCCGCAGACTCTCTGATAATGGACAAGGCCTGTGGCTGCACAGACAGCCCAGGTTCAAGTCTGGCCTCTGCCATTGACTGACTATGGAGCCTTAGCTTAACCTCTGGAGGACTTAACCTTAACCTCTGGAGGACTAAACCCTAACCTCTGGAGGACCCGTTCCCTCATCTGGAAAAAAAAGAGCAGAGTAGCGTGCACTTTTTGAGGCGGACGTGAGGGTTTTGTTAATATGGGCATGTATAGTCCCCAGAGCAGCTCCTGGCATGGATTCAGTAAATGGTGGGCCGTGCGTTATCATGAGATGGGGGAGTACACAGTTCCTCTTCTCACTCACCATGAGCGACAACAGCAATACTTGTGATAAAATTATCTGCCACTCTGGGTTTATAGACGTAATCACATTGCAATCACATTTGTTGTCATAGCAGGTCTGGGGGGGAAAGTGAGACTCGAGGCAGGGAAGACGCCACTCACTCGCTGTCAGAGCAGGCGTGGGGTTACCCGGACGGTCCTCCCATGCTGCTGCCTCAGTGACTCTGCTTCTCCTCTGCAGCATGGGCTCATGGGGACCGAAGGAGAGGGAGTCCGTTTAGTGACCAGCCCGAGCAGGTCCTCAAGACATGGCTATTCCAAGTCTGGCCCTTTTCCCTGAGAGAGGCCCCGGCCCGGTATCCTCGAGAAAAGACTTCCAGCCTGGACCAGCTACTGACTTTTCCACGTGACCTTGGGTCAGTCCCCCTCCTGCCCAATCCTGAGTCTCCCCATATTAAAAATGAAGGGGCTGCAGGGACCTCTGCCCCAGGCCAGCCACTGCTGATCAGTCACAGCCCTCCTTCCCGCTGGGGCCTCAGAATCCTTAACACATCCCTTATCCCTGTGTCTCTTCTCGCCTGCTATTTTACCAATTCTGACCTTGTGAGAAGAAGCCCGTGGAAGAGGGTGCGATCCCTGCTCCATTCTCCTGGGGTGTCCTTGCCCTTAGAGACCTTTGTGAGCACAGATCCCTGTGAAGGGCAGCCCAGAGGAAGCGTAAACACCTTCTCTTCCTGAGGCTGTCTGGTAAGGGCTCTGACAGAGTTTTAAGTCTGCTGCTACTTCCACACTGAGGGGAAAGCATTAAAAATGAGAAAATAAAAAATGTTTAAGATGGTTAGAGTAATTCAAGAAATCCCAGAGGGTGGGAAGAGCTTTCCTCTCTGATCCTGTGGTTTCTGTGGGGGGTGCTGGGGGCACAACACCAGTCTTGTCAGTGGGAATCTCCCGTCAGGCCACGCCACCAGCCACACAGCAGGGATTTCCTGCTGGGGCCTAGGGAGGACAGGCAGGCCACCTCAGCTGGACCAGAGGCTTTGAGTGTCCGGCTGGATGGACCTGCAGGGTCCCAGGGATCGAGGGGCTCCATGTCTGGGCTGCAGAGTTTAAGAAGCTGGAAGGGATGACAGCCTCTCTGAGGCTCAGTTTTCTCTTCTGAAGCCCGCTGTGGTGGTGTGGAGCCCTGGTGGGGCACATGGGACTTTGGCTTGAGACCTGGGCCTGAACCCTGACATGGGGCCTGAAGGAAGTGCAGGAGCTGCCTCAGCGAAGGGCTGGAGAGGAGGCCGGTCGCGTGTACATAGTGGCTTGGAGACGAGAGGGAGCATGAGGTGCTCAGGAACCGTGTTTGATGTGCCAAGGTTGGGGTGGACCTGGCCTTGTGAGGTCTCGAAGGCCAGGCTGAAAGGAGCCTGGACTTCCTCCTGTGGGCCACAGGAGAGGGTGAAGGAACGTATGTCAGGGGAGTGGGTGCCTGCGTGGCCCCTGGGAGCCCACAGAGCCTCACCATCTTCCTGCAGGGCTGTGCTGCCGGCCCTGCCTCCATGCACACCTACCTGGGAGCAGCTCCTGGCCCAGGGGGCGGCCCCCCTTCCTGTCGCTGGCAGCCAGCTGTGTGGACCCATGGAGCTGCTGCAGGGCCAAACACTCGGTCAGGACGTCAGCCTCGGTGTCAGGGCCCGCGTGCAGCTGAGGAGCAAGCAAAGGGAGAGAGGGTGTCAGTGTGAGACCACCCACCACCAGCAACACTGGGCTTAGGGGACCGGACAGCAAGGGCTCCAGAGGAAGACCCTTCACCTCACTGCTCCTCGGCTTCCCCATCTGTGAAATGGAGCTAATTATACATGTTGGGTTAGTTCAGGGCTGAGATGCAGATGCTAAGACAAGAGTGAACAGGCCAAGATTTTTGCCTGAGAGAAAACCAGAGAGCTGGGCAGGCTGGGAGAGCTGTGGGCTGAGCTACAAGTCTGACCCGGAGTGAAGGGGGGAGGGAAGGAGGTTGGTGGAAGCATCCTAGACTGAGTCCTCAGGGAGCAGCCGTGTGTTGGAAGTCAGAGGTCCTGTGTCCCCCGGACAGAGGTTTTGCCTCAGTATCCCTGCAGGGTCTGCCACACTCAGTTCCTGGCTGGGAGCAGCCTGCCAGAGGCACAGCCTCACTCACCGGCCCAGATGGGTGTCCAAGGATGCAACTGGGCCCTCCCCCAAGCAGCCACTGTGTGGCGCATTCTTGTGGCTGCCACAGTGAACTCGTGTGTAACATACAGTGGGCACAGTGGAAGTGTCTTTCCTTCCTTCCCCCCGTCCCTGCATCTTTCTTTCTTCCTAACACAAGGCGCAGTGGAAACAGTCTAGGGCTAGAGACAGAAGACCCGGGTTCAAATCCCAACCCATCTCTTCTGACTCCCTGTGTGACACTGGACAAGTAACTTAACCTCTTCAGCTGTCCTCTGCCTGTAACAAGCAATGACAACTTCCCCCCCAACCTCCGGCTGCTGTGTGGAGTAAGGAGATGACATCTTTGAACGAGCTTGTTGAAGGTACTGTGCGAAGGGCTGGCTGAGCCCCACATGGTCACGTGACAGTCAGCACACTGGATCCACATATGGACTGAAGTCGCTGGCTGAGAGCAGCCTGGGCTGGCAAATATTTTGGCCAACAACTCTCAGTTGTCCTAAAGGCAGGCTTGAGCTCTGTACCCCAAAGTTCTTCACCTCCCCAGAGAGGCCAGATGGGGACAGGGTGTGGCTGGTTGAGGCCCTTGGGACCTGGGGCAATGAGGCAGGTCTGCACCCTCCCAGGGAAATCCCAAAGCCTGACTATCAGAGCCCTGAAGATTGACTTGTCCAGACTCTTCATTTCACCTGGGACAAAACTGGCCCAGAGAAGGCAAGAGCCTGGTCCCACTCGGCACAGCAGCTGAGAGTCAGCCCGCAGGCTTTTCCCACCCTCCCAGGCCAGAGAGCTGGCATCCAGGCTGGGGGATGGCTCGCCCAGCCTCCCGACAGGCTCTCAGCTCCTTGCCCCAGCAGCTGCTTTCCATGTAAATTCAGTTTCTGGCAAAAGAGGGCCAAGGCGTGTTCTTGCAAACCGCAATGTCGATCGGATTAGGAGCAGCAGGAGAGGAGCATTAAGGAAGAAAAGCATTTCTAATTCTCCCTGAAACGCAGCAGGGCTGCCAAGGAGCTGTCATAATACAAGGGTCGCTTTACCCAGCAAGACACATCATCCCCGATGGCTCCTAATGGATGCCTATGGTTGGGAAGCTTGCAGATCTGCGGCCTCGGGTCCCTGGGGCTCAGTGCGAGCCAAGCACAGGGCCTGGGAAAACCGGGGCAGGATTCTGGTCCTCGGGCACCAGTGGGCTCAGGATAGAAGCCTCCTTGGCATAGAGCCCAAGCCATTCCGCATCCCTGCTTGGGCCCTTCAGCCTGAGAGCAGTGGACAGAGCTCAGGCCCTGGAGACGGGCATGTCTGGGGTGAGATCCTGGTGGTCTCCCCTGCGGTTCACAAATCCATGCTGGGTTCAGTTTGGCCCTGCCTTGTCGCAGTGAGGACAGATGGGGTGTTGTCACCGGACAGCTCAGGTGTAGGATAAAGACCGAAGCCTCAAGCTTGGCTGTTGCCTCCACCCTGCCATGTCTTTCCAGCAGAGCCCTGTGTGTCCCAGACCCATCTCTGTACATCCCCACCCCCCAGGACTGAAGCAGGCCTCTTTCTCCAGCCTCTCTGCCTCTCTCGGCTTGACTTACAGCCCTATCCACAGTTCTTAAAACAGTGCTTGGAAAATGGTAGGTACTGCATAAATGTTGCAGGGTGAATTAACAGGCTCTCCCTGCTCTGTCCTCCGCTGTCACGCTGATACCCCTGGACTGGCCCTGGTGTTTCTCTTCACCGCCCCCTTCCCTTGCACTCAAGTACCTGCCTCCCACCGCCCTGGTGCTCTTCTGGAGATGTGGGTTGAGCCCAGAGGTGGGCTGAGCCCCAAGTGGTAGTTCCATCCCCCCACTGCCCTGGGTCCCTCCTGCTCCCACCCCAACAGGCTAAGGCCCCCTTTTCTGCACCCCTGACTATTCTCTGTGGGCTTCTACTGTCATCTTTATTATATTCTACCAAATGAGCTCTTTATGTCTGTCTCTCCCTGCCAGGTCCCCATCAGAGGATGGGGACTCTGCCCACACAGAGCCTGCCATCAAATGTTAACTAAGCGAGCCAGGGCGAGAGGGCAGATGGATGATAGAGAAGCTGTATGTGGACGTTCTGTGGGTGGATAGATGTCTGGCCGGCTGGAGGTGAGCAAGTGAACTCAGGGGCCAGCGGGGAGGCCGGTCTCGGACGATGGACAGCAGCATCCCCAGGTGTGTGGAAGGGTGAATGCAGGCAAGGCGTGCGGGTACCTGGCTTGTCGCCCGATAGGGGTCTGCGAGGCTGGGGGTGGGGGGGAGACACTGGCAGAGGTGGGCCTGGAATGGAGACTCTTACCTTCTTACGCACTTGCTGCTCTTTGGCTGAATGGGCCTTCACGTGCTTGCGGAGGGAGCTGGGGTCCGTGTAGCGCTTGGAGCAGCCGGGGATCTGGCAGGCGTAGGGCTTCTGTAATATCAGAGGGGCAGAGGTGGGGTGAGGGAGCAGCTGTCTGGCAGCCCAGTGTTGCACTCTGTGAGCCGCAGGGGGAAGGGGCCAGCTGCAGGCTCACACCCAGTCCCTCCCCCTGTCCCCAGCCAGGAGGGGTCTCACTCAGCCAGCCCTGCCAGGCCTCAGAGTGAAGGAGGGGTTGTAACTCCCTGCTACCCTCATGCTGGGATCTCAGAGAAGTCAACTCCCATCGCTGAGTCTCTCTTGCAAAATGGAGCCACCTGAATTCTAAGCATTCTCCCAGCTTGGACACTGGCTCTGAGGAAAGGGCACCCTGTGAGCCCACGGCTGCAGAGAAGGCACAAGTGGGCAAGGAGTACAGTGAGGTGGCTGTCTTAGAGGAGGAGGAGGGGGAAGAGAAGGGACAGCACAGGGCCAAGCTGGAGTACGGCAGGGCCCCAGGGCTGGGAGTGACTAACCACACCTTGCGGTGGCTCCAGATACCCCAGATTGCTCTGGTCGGTGAGAAACCCAGATCCTCAGTCCAGGGATCACAGGAGGCTGGGAGGGAGCTGGATCTCAGACAAAGGCCTGGGGAAGCCGGGGGTCTGGGCCCTTTGTGCACTTTCCCCTGAGCCCCTATCTCATTGCTCATCTAGAGCCAATCTATACTTTTTACTGCCTCCCCTGTTCCTGCCTGGGGCTCACACTGCTCTCTGTGACCCAATCTCACCTCCCACCACTGCCAGAGGACCCTTGGCCATGCTTTCACCTTTGAAAACCCCTCCATGGCTCCCTTGTGTGCTCTGACATAGCCCATCTCCCAGCACTGAAAGCCCTTTGGGACTTGGGCCTGCTGAAGTTCTCACCCCTCCTCCTGCCCCCATCCTTGTATACCCATCTGCCCAGCCCTTCTGGAATCTTCTTTCCACTTCTGCTCCCTGACCCTCCCCCGGGCAGCACTGAGCACCCAGCACTGCTGGCCTTGTTCAGTGTCCTTCTCCTACTAGATAGTGTATTTCCTTGGGGGAGGTCCCTTCTGATTCATCTTAGGTCCCAGGGACTGACTCAAGGAGCAGCTCTAAACTGAATTCTGAGCTTTCCCGTAGGGGGTTCCACAGGACCCTGCTTGGGGTTCCAGCTGCTACTGGGGCTTGAAACCTTCCATCCCAATATACTTTGTGGTTCTGATTTCTCCAGGCCCTCTGGCCTCTAGCAACTGCAGGGAACTGGAGGGTGTGTGGAGGAGGGGGTACGTCTCAGATTAAGTACTGGGGACGGCCATGTCCCTGCGAGACACACCCAGTGGAACTGCCCCCCCCACCCCTCCCTAACCTCCAGGCAACTCTGTCCCCACTGGTGTGAGGAGAGGCCAGTCCAACCGCAGACCCAGGGACCTCATGGGGAAGGGGAAGCAGAAAGAGATGACCATACCTTGGTGCTGCTACGGACAGCCGCCAGGTTAAAGAAATGGGGGAGAGCAAAAAGAAAGAGACAGAGAAGTGAGCGGCTTGCCTCCCTGAAAGGAAGGTGCTGGGCAGGAGGGCGGAGGGCACGCCTCAGACCTGCCCCTCTCTAGCCACGTGAGACACAGATGTGTACACACACACTCACACACACACACACACACACACACACACACGCACACACACATTCTCCTTGGGCGCTGCTTCCACCCCAACACACGGACATATGTACACATACATGTTCTCCCTCGTGGGCCCCAGCTGGTCAGGCCCCAGGCCCTGTCCCTCAGGGACACTGATACAAATCCACACGCTCTTGCCAGAAAGCAAACAAACAGAGCTCCGAGTGTGCAGGTCCACTCGCCTGGAAAGGGCACAAGGCCCATCTCCGTGTTTGTTTTTCCAGGGCCTGACATGTGCAGAACATTCCTCCAGCCCTGCTCCTCTGTGAGCCCTCTGGAAACCCTGTGGCTATCCCAGGCGGCAGGCAAGCCCAGGCCTGGGGAGTCACCGTCCCGGCCCCGGAGCCTCATTAGTAACAAGGACACTGGTGCTGGTGCAGGAAGGATGGAGGGCTATGGCCCATATGGCCCTCCAGGTCTGTGTGCGGCTACTCTCCACTGGAAACCCGTTCGGCCTCACACCCACTGTGGGAGAAGCACAGAGGAGGAAACAGAGGCTGACGCGTTGCCCAAGATCTCAAAGCGAGAGTGTGTCAGTGACATTCTGGGGTGGGGGGGGCTCTCCTTGCCTGGGCGCAGGAGACCTGATCACCCCCTGCGCAGTGGCGGTCAGGACTCCGAGCGCCAGGGGACACGGCCGGGTTTGGTCAGCTTTCGGTCAGCAAGTCAGAGCAGGGAAAGGAGGGACTCACGTTTGCCGTGTGGACCGTATGTCATGCCTACACCCGCATTGTTCCAGTTAATTTCCCCATGTCTCCCTGATGATGTAGGTGTTTGAGGAAAGTAAGGCCCAGAGAGGCTAGGTGGCACTCCTTGGAGCTCTGGGCCCAGGTGGAGGGCCCGACTTAAAACCCGGCTGGCTCTCTCTAGTCTGTTCTGCCACTTTCCTGCTCATGGTGAGAATCCCATGTTCTTTGGCGCCAGAGGGGAGCTGGGAACATGACTGGGTCCCTTCTGGAAAACAAGGCCCAGCCTGCATGGGCTGACCCACTGGCCTCTGTGTGCTGGGAAGGCAACCTCTCTGGGCAGGATTGCCAGAGCTCTTTCTGTGGGGATGGGCACAGCTGGGGGCTGGGCTTGGCGGCTGTACCTCTAGGGCTTCACCAGGACCTGTGGGGAGATGAAGACCTGCCATAACACTCTGGGCTCACTGTGGGCCTGACCTGACCTAGTCCTCACAGCTCTGTTCACATACCAAGTGGGGGCCAGAGGCCTGTTGCTTTGGGGCTGGGTCCAGGAAATGCAGCAGGAAAGGAGGGAGGAAGGGGGCAAGTCAGAGTAGGTGACCCTGAGAGGCCCAGAGGGACACTGTTCAGGCTAGAGATTGCGTGTGCAGAGGGCCTGGCACTGTTGGTGCTGTCCTGCGGTCTCTGGGAGACATAACCAGGGGGCCTGGGCATGGGCTATGCCCCTCAGGGCCTGGGTGGGGACCAAGGACCCCAAGGCCGGGCTTGTGAGAATGTCATGAAAGCAGGGGTTGGTGAGAAGGCCTCACTTCACGTCCCCAGCACAGCCTGTGACAGCAAAGCCTGAGGGGGGAGGGGTGGAAAGAAGGGTTGGGTTCAGTTGGGGACAGGGCTCCTTCTTCCTACCCTGTCCCCTGTACTCAGATCCCTACTTTCCAGGGGGACTGCTACCCCAGCTTTTCCAGCAAAGGGTCACTGGACTCTGCCATGTACCAGCTGTGTGACAGTCAGTGACTTCATCGGAGTCTCAGTTTCTTTGCAAAATGAGAATCGTGGCCTTTACCTTGTAGACTGTTACCAACATTAAACTGGGAAGAGTGTACGGGACACTGGCGGTGAAGGAAACGTATAGAACATCCTGGCCAGGACCTAACCTGCACCCACCCTGTGATTTCTCTATGTTTCTAACATTTGGGCTCTTGGCTTTCCCAGCTCACTCCCAGCTCTGACTGCTGTTGTTACTCACTCTTGTGGGCCTCTGTTTCCTCATCCGTGTATCTGTCTGTTAGACAGCCTGGGCCCATTGGCCACTTGGGTCTTCCAGTCCCCCACCAGCAGAGTCCCCCAACGTTTGCCCAGAGAGCAGAGAGATACAGACATACACTCTGGATGCAGACCTGTCTCCTGCTGTACTTGGGGACAGGGTCCCCCCAGGCCATATGCACCCCTGGGACTTGGGTGTGAGGTCCAGCTCTGAGTCAGCTCTGCCACCTCCCAGCTGGGCAGGCACTGAGCCTCCTGGAGCCCCACTTCCCTCAGCTGTCAAAAGGGTCAGCGGCCCCCTGACAGGTAGGGTCAGTATGAGATCGTGGGAGACGATGTTTTTGAAAGTATGTTGCTAACCGCTGAGGTCTGGATGCCCAAGAGAGAAGCTGGGACCGACACTGTGACAAAGCTGAGGGTTAGTGCCGTTTGACCCAAACGAGGGAAAGGGGATGGCCATACAGGGATCTGGGGCCCAGATCTAGAGTCGGAGACCCTGCTCACCTCAACCCCACACCCACCGTGCTTAGGGGCTAAAGGACAGTCCTGGAGAGGCTCTGACCTGTCTCCAATGGAGGGTGTGGGATGGGAAGAGCAGGGAAGGCCTGCTCTGCGGCTGGCTGATGGGTTGGGGGAGAGGTTGCACAGTGGTGAGCCCACTCTCTCCATGGGGCATGTCTGGACACTGGTGCCCAGGCCAGGAGCCGCAGGCTGAAGTAGTGGTTCTCAACTTGGAAGACTTTACTTCCTCTTCCCCGGGCTATTTGGCAATGTTGAGAAACATTGGCCACAACCGGGAGATGGAAAATTGCCCCTACCTATCGGACAAACGTCCCATAATAACAGGCCTCCCTTCTCCTGGCATAGTCATGCTGCCCAGAATGTCCAGGGCTCAGGACAAAGGCAGGTTTCCGCGCGGGCCCTGGCTGCTGGCCTGCTCCGCACAAGGGAGGGAGCATGCATTCCGCCCACCCCTTTCCCTCGGCCTCTGCCCTTGGGCCTACCGTGTCCAGGTGGGTGCGCTGGTGCTTAGCACGATCGCTGGAGTTACTGAAGGCCTTCTGGCAGCCAGGGTGCTGGCACAGGTACGGCTTCTCACCCGTGTGGCTCCGCAGGTGGATCTTGAGGTTCTCCAGCCGTGAGAAGGCCTTGCTGCAGCCTTCAAACTGCAGGAAAGGCCGGTGAGGGGTGCTCTACAGCCCCAGGGGGAAGCCCGCTACTCAGCCTGGGAGCGGCCCCAGCATCCCCTGCCCCCCAGGCCTGCCCAGAGCCTCCAGGTGTCCCACTTCAGCTCCCCATGTGTGATCGGGACCCAGGCTCTATCCGGAAAACCCTGGTGGGTTCCTGTGCCTTAGAAATGGCCGTGAGGGTTAGAGAAGAAAGGGGTCTTCCCCTCTCCGGATCTGAAAGGATCCCCAGTGGCAGGTGGAAATGACATGCTGTTATTGGCAGCACAGCCTTGAAGGGACAGGAGAGCAGGGACAGATGGCCCCGGATTTGGGACCTGAGGCCTGCATGTGAGTGAGGCTTTGGGCAGTGCCCTTGACTGCCCTTATTGCTTCACCTACAGACTTAAGACCATGCGACCACCACTCTGGGCTGACACTGACTATCAAAGGGCTCTGTCCATCTGGAGCGTGCATCAGTGCCGATCAGTGTCAGAATAACAACCCATTTGTAAACTCAGGGTCTTCAACGCATTGTCTGGGCATCCGTCCAGTGCCCCCCATGGGCCAGGCCCCATGCTGGGCAGTGGGCAAGCAGCAGGTGTGGCCCAGACACGGCGACGCCCCTGGTCAGGGTGGGTTGGACGGAGCAAAAGACATGGGGCCTCCTCCTGCAGCCCAGGGCGCCCCGTCCTCCCAGACTCTGCCGGGCTCCCCCCGCCCCAGAACCCTCGGACTTCTCACTCCTCCCACGCTCTCCCCTACACGACCCCCTGAGGAGGTCTCTGATGTAGAAACAGGACGCCATGACTCTGCCTGAGGCTGGGTGCCCTGTATACCTTCCTGCCCCACAACTCCTGCCCGCCCCCAGCAACAGCAGGAGCCCACCTGGCCACTGCAAGCCCCAGTTCGCCAGTTGCTCAGCCAGAGACACCGTCTCTCTTATAACCATACATCCTATCCCCCGTCAGCCTTCAAAGTCCAGCTCTAATGCTGCCCCCTGGCACATTCCTGGACCCCTGTGTGGCTGGCCACTCCTCCCTGCTTGTCCTCACTGTCCAGGGTGTCCGGCCAGGCCGGCACTCCTGTGGGGCACACGGGGAGCTGGGAGGAGGACCCTGCTCAGACCCGGCCCCGCTCTATCCATGCAGACACGGAGCACGCTCTTGTACCACACCATAACCCTGAGGTGTGTGGCCTCCACGTTCCTGCCTCAGAGACAGAGGCTTTGTGTGGTGACCGCAGGGCTGTGACACGGCAAAGATAGGACGCAGACCCCTCTGACGCCGAAGCCCAGATGGTTGTGCTATGGCCGCTGCCTTCCCAGGGCAAGTGGGCAGGGCAAGGCAACCCTTGAGGAGGAAGAGACAGAGGAACCAGCTCCCAGGCCCATCATTAGTTTCATCCCCCAGCTTAGGACAGACATGAGGACAGGGACTCCGGGACAATAACTGGTCTGGGGTGAGCTGCCTCCACCCTCCGTCTCCTCCTTGAAGGCCCGGCCACAACCGCAGGCTATGCTCCGCTGGGGCTGAGCCAAGGCGGGCAGCCTGCCGCTGGGTTTTAGAGACTGTCCTGCCTCCTGCTCCCAGTCGATGGGCCTTTTCCACTTAAGAAAACCGGGAGGAAATCCTGTTTGGGGAGTAAGTTGGCCACAAGCTACTCCTCTACTCTCCTACAATGGCTCCGTGCCAAGTTCACCCCAAAATGAGGTGGAGGAGCCACGGCTGGAAAGCGGGCTGCCTCTTGGTTCCCAGCTGGTCCCTTTGTTCCTTCGTTGGCCGCTGCCGGAAGGATAGACATCTAAGGCCGAGAAGCAATAAGTCCTCAGGCCCCGCCTGCTTTTCTGGACCGTGCGAGAGCCCAGCAGACTCTGGAGGCCTATGTATCATCGTCTTCTCAGAGGGGCCCGTGTGCCTGTCTGGCCAGCCTCCGCCTCAGCAGTGGCTTTGTTCAGGCTGCACGCCCCACCCCCCATGGGAGGCCTTCTCTTCCATCTCAATGACAATTTAATTCGTATATTTTTCAAAAGCCCAGGACCTGTGGCTTGGTGTTTGCGCTCTTCTGCGGCAACCCTGTTGCCTCTCCCATCTGCACACACCCACCATGTCCTCCTGCTGGAGCTGCTCAGGAGTGACGACTCAGAGTGTCCTCAGGACTCTCATGCCCCCAGGCCTTTGCTTGAGCTGCTCCCTGGGCCTGGAATGCCTTTCCCTCCTTCACTCATTTTGCAGATGTCTTACTGGTCTAGGTCTACTCGTGGTGTTCAAGCACGGCCTCCTCCAAGAAGCCTTCCCAGCCTCCGCAGCCCCTCTCTGGACACACTCTGAGCCTGCAGATTAGAAGATTTTTGCTGCACACCCATTGCCTTCTCGCCAGACCTCCAAGCTGAGGGTCTGGGAGTTCCTTGAGGGGAGGGCTGGCAGGACAGCCCTTTGTAGGACAAAGGCTGGATTAAAGACCTGATCCGGTGGGGGTGAGAACAGAAATCCCCTTTGGTTTCCCCTGTGCCTGTGCCCTTGGGAGTACACCCTCTTCCCTGCAGGGTTCATCCAAACACCCGATACCTGTGCCCCAGGTCTGTGCCACGCCCATGTCCTACCCCCACATGGAGAAGACTCACCGGCTAGGGCACAACAAGCAGTGGTCCAGGGCGCCCTGATGGGATGCCCGTCCCCCGAGATGGAACTGGACGTGGCAGCAGGTAGAAAAGGGGTGCCGCCTGATCCAAGACTGCTCTGGGGTGAAGACGCTGCGGGGCCCACTGCCGAGCCACACCCCCAGCAGGCCAGCCCCCCGACACGCCAGGGCACCTTGAGGCTATGGGCTCTGCCTGCAGCTGCTGCCAGGGCTCACCTGGCTCTCTCCATCCAACCACCGCACGGATGGCCAACAGGGGCAGAGTGAGGAGGGTGGCACGCTCCCCGGTTCACAGCCATGTGTGCTCGCTCTGCTGGGCCTGTGCTGTGCCTGGGGTTACCCCACTCAGGGCTCTCCAGAGTTCCTCATGCCTTCCGACATCCAGCCAACCCCCTTAGCATTCAAGGCCTTTCCGGGGTCTGGTGTGGCACGACCTGAGGCCAAGGGTCCAGACTTAGGAAGCAGACAGCCCTGTGATCTTGGCAAGTCCGTGCCCCTCTCTGTGACTCTCTTTCTTTCTCTATAAAATGAAGACAAACCAGCTCAGGCAGTTGGTGTAAGGGCAAGGCAAGGTGCATATCCACATGCGACACAACACATATTCTCTGAATGTTCTATTATCACGGTAGTGATGGTTCCTATCCTGCCCTCAGAAAAAATACCAGTGTAGGTCAGGTTTTACCGACCCCAGAAGTAAAGAACAGGGGGCCCTGGCTGACAGGCTTGCCATTGGTCCGGCCCTAAAACCCTTTCAAGGTCAGTCCCATGGGGGCACTGCTTGGGTGCCCAAAACAGCCTTTTGGGGTGGGAATGGCCTGACAGAGCCCAATCCATCGGCTACGTGGGGGCTGGGAGGGCAGCACGGAGAGGTGCCTCCCCACTGTTGTGTTGTGGGGGTAGAGATGCTTCCAGGATGGAGACATAGGTCTGGTAGCAGAAAAAGAGCCAACAGGGGCCTTGGTTTCTCTGAGGGGGGGCTGGAGGATGGGCCCTGTGGCAATGCCACTGTGACCCAAAGGTGTAATGATCCTTCTATGGGGTCTGTAGCCCAGGGGGTGACACACAGGCCTTCCTATACTCCTCCCCCGACTCAGCAGTCCCTTGAGGCTCTCAGGCAGATTTTGCCCTGGACAGACCCCTTCTTCTCTGCTGTGAATGTTCAGGTGTATAACCCTGCCGAAGAGACCTCCTGGGATGTCCCCTACTCTGGTACAAGGGGGGCAAAGGGGGAGTGGCTGCTACTGGTCCAGAAGGGCTAAACCACAGTCAGAACTGCTACCTCTTGTGGGAAGAGGGGACCCCCTCAATCTTCAACACAAGCCAGCAGTGCCAGGCAAAGCCCATGACTCTCAAAGTCATCCACGCACCCCACGCAACAGTCGCACACCCCCAACCTTACCGCACACCCTCATCCCTGCTCACTGGTACTCTGTCACCTGACCTTCATCTGCCACCCTTCCAACTCCTCACTGTTGGGATTCAGGCTCATCCTCTCATCTCCGTGCACATGGATTCATGTCTTGACTCACTCGGGTACCCCTGTGTGCCTGGCAGCGTGCTGGGAGCTGGGATTTTGGGGCAAAAAAGACCACAAAACACCCGTTAAGTCCAAACAAAAGAGAATGTGTCCAGCCCCACAAAGGGGCTGATGTCAGGGGACTTCCAGCTGGGGAAGGCAGGGGGGCTCACTAAAGCCTTCTTGGAGAAGCCAGGACTTGATGCCTCAGCAGCGTTTGGACAAACAGCGTGGGAAGTACAGAGAGACTGGGAGGGGTAGAGAATGTTCTGGAGACAGCCAAGGATTTGCTAAGCTAGAATGAAGGGAAGCAGAGGAGAGGTGGAAGTAGAAATGGGAATGTGGGGGGTTCCCTTCGTTCCAATCCATGGAGTGCTGATTCATTCTGGAACAGGTGAGTTTGGGGGTATTTTTTCCCAGAAAACGCCACAGAAACCGCCCCACGCACTCATTGATGGGGCCCAGCCAATGAGTTGGCTCTTCACCTGGGGGACCCTGGTGCTGCTTCTGGCTGGACTCCCAGCCCCTGATCTCCCACCTTCCACCCAGATGCTTGTGCCAAAAACCCATTCCTTCCTCCCTGGGCCCTGTACCCAACCAGCCACCAAGCCACGGAAATGCCACCTCTTAAACAACTTCCCGGTGCACCCTCTTCTCTTCTTTGCCACCCTGATTGCTGGCCCACACCCCCAGCTCTGCTCACCCCAGTGACCGCACTAGCTGCCGTCCTGACTCCTGCCTCTCCTCTCCCACGGAATCTGGTATCTAGAAGGAAGACTTGAGCCTACAGGTCTGAGTCCTTCCCTGCCTAAATCCCACAGAGTATTCTAGTGCCTGGCAAGTA